AGACGCAAGACGGTGAGCCGAGGACTTCTTGGCACAATCCAACAGTCCTCACTCCGCGGCAATCCCTTTTTGGTTTCCGGGGCGGAAAGTTTTACGAATTCCTTTCAACCAACTTTTACCTCCGAATAGAAAGTCATGTCACAATAAAAAAAACAAACAGGGTATGACTCCCCGATTGTAAAGCTCAGCCCAGATCACCTGAAGATGCTAGATTTCGAGGAGGCAGAGAGTAAAGTCGCTTGCCTCCTCACAAATTCAGCTCTTTTAGCTCGAGCATCAAACCCTGGAAGCATGTCGTGCATGCGTAAAAGAATACTTCACAACATGTTAAGGGGAGGACCTAGCCAGAGTGGTGGATCTCATCCGACATTATAATGTTGACATTTTTCAAGTTTAACAGGGTGCTGATTATGATTGAGTCATATTCAAAATTCGAGGTCTATTGGTAGTTGCGAAACGTAGCTTCGAAACAAAAAGAGTATATGTTTTGTGATCGATTCTAATCGCAGATAAAAGTTTGTCTAATCGGCAATCCCATTATTAAAAAATGTGATATGTGAATAACCTGGCTTTACTTGAAAGCCAGGTCTGTTCTGGGACTCAGGGATACCAGTAGCAGTGTAGCCAAGAGGTAGCATATCGAGAATGTACGCCAAACTCCCCAAGTTCGAGTCCCGCTGAAAAGGCTGATGAGAACTGGGCAAGGTGTAAACTGCAGTTCAGTCCTGAGAATACTATTTAAGGAGCGAGGCTATTTGAACTTCAGTGGAATTGTGAGGCTTACTCATATGATCGTGGGAAAATCCAACCATCTGTCCTTTACCCCCATATGCAAACTAGGGTGAATACAGCTTTTGTACCTTCAACAGTCAGACCTGTAAGAACTTCGAAAAAAATGTTACTAACCAAATACATGAGTAGTGTAGCGAGTTTAATAAAAAAGAAAGATTAATTGACTTTGGTTATCGAGGGTGATATGCTTGATATGTAAGATTTTCAATGTAAATCCACTTGCGGAGATAGAAATGAGACGATGAGACGATGTCCTTAGGGTGCATTTTTAAAAGCAAGTTCATTTAACAGTCTCTTCAATCCCTCGTGGGAGACTACCTCACTGGCAGCCGAACAGGACTCCACTTAAAACTAGGAAAATTGAACTACCAGTCCTTCAGCTACTTAAACGAAATAGGATGAGCAGAACTCATATATTTGATTTACTAGTAGCCTCGAAAATTTAATCATGAAAAAAGTAGTATCGTCGATTGCTAAAGTAAATATGAGTTTGCTTCATCGGCAATCTCAACATAGAATGTGATATGGAAAATACCGGACCTTCCTTGAAATTCACATCTACCCTGTGACCGAAAGGCAGTCGTGGTAATGTGGCTTACTCGTTGTACCGTCATGATTCGACTCCCGTTTGGGCTGTTAATAAAACCTATATGAGGTCGAAACTGCAGTCCACTCCAGCCGGGAAGACAACACCTTCTGGGAAAGCAAGTCTGTGTGAAATTCAATGAAAAAAACAGCTCTGCCCATGCCATTGTAGGAAAATCCACCTACCAGCCATGCATCACCTTAAACGAAATAGGGTGAAGACAACTCATATATCATAGAAATTAGGTTTATAAACTATCAGTAAATCTCAAACAAGAGGTTCATTCACCCTAGGTCACACATGGTGGTGGTGATAGTTGGATTTTCCTACAATGCTATAATTAGGACCCACTTTTCCACTAAATTTCATCCACCCCTGCGTTCACAAATGTATTTTCATCACAGCTGGACTAAACCACAATTTCGACTTTGCTCGAAATGATTTCATCAGCACCCCCAATCGGAGTAAAAATAGAGGTGTGGTAGGACAGCGTACAATTTTGACATATTACCACTAAGGTTGGAATAACTTTAATTTTGTTTGAAGAGGCGAATGGAAGGGACTCGTGAATTGGTTCTACCAGAGGCTGTGGGGAGTGGCCTTGGAGCAT